GAACAAACACATTACCCCAGATTAATATCAACATAATCACAACAATGTTCCACTCTTCGTGCTGCGTCCAACAAAGTATCTGGATCATTTGCACAGAATTGGACAAATAGCGGGCGATCCTTTTGCAGCCATAATCAAATTCCAATCAGGAAATTTTTGAGATTAATATTTAAGAAACAATGCAATGTGCAAACCTTTTCAAAAGCAACAACTAATTTAAAAAAGTGCAGAAATGTGGGAATCAGTATTTTTTTTTTCTCTCATAATCATTTTGTCAAACAATTGGTTCACATGACAAAGCAGTGGCGTTCATACACTTAATGATGATCTTCACCACAACCATATAGACAAACCAGTTCAAGAACAGGAAATAAACCTAGATCAAGAGAAAGAATGGCAGCCCAAATTAATAAAGCATTCTAAAGAAGAGGAAATAAAAATAAACCCCAAATTAAATGACCCACAAAGAATTGAAAATACCAAAAAAGAGGAAGAGAGGCCGACCTGAGGAGACTCTGTCTTCAGAACTGAGGAGAATGACAAAAGAATCAAAATGGGTAGCTTTTGCTTTTGAACAATGAAGTAAATACCTATATGTGTGTGTAAACATATGTATAACAAAATTGTATCCAAAATTATGAGAATGACACTCTAAATCGCTCATAACAACAAAATATATAAAACATCAAACTGTAAGCAACTCAAATCAACGGCTCGTTACTCGTGATTTGACAAAAGAATCAAAATGGGTAGTTTCGCTTTTATATATATGTGTACATAAACATATGTATAGGAAAATTGTATCCAAAATTATGAGAACAACACTCTAAAATACATCATAACAATAGAATATACAAAACCTCAAACTGTATTAGCAACTCAAATCAAGGGCTCGTTACTCTTGAAGTCGAGGAGGGTGGGTGTCAAGGAGCGGAACTCAAAATTGGGAAAACTACCGAGGAAGGTGGGTGTCGATCTTCCTTTTCAAGTCTATAGACATGTTTGGCAGAAGTGGGAGAGAGAGAGAACGTGTAGAGAGGGGGTAGACGTGTTTGGCAGAAGTGAGAGAGAGAGAGATGAGCGTTTGAGCGGGAATCAAAGTTTCTTTTGAACCAAACCTTCTTTTGAACCATTGATATTTATTAGAATTCATCTGAGCCTTTGAAATCAAATGTATCTCACATACATTTTATACATTTGCAAAAACTATCGTCCCTTATTATATAGATATAAAATATTTAATACATATATACAAAAGTATGGTGCGTGATTGAAACCACGGTACCGAATAAATTTAATAAAATATTATATAATAATATAACATAATATATATATATATATACATAATACATAATAAAGGAAAAGAAAATGGAGAATGAGTCTAAAATAATTTGGCAAAAATAGGTGTAAGGTTGGGATTAAAGTTTACATTCCATATTTTCACTGAGAATTTTGTGAGATAGCATATTCTTATTTTCATCATTGGGTAATCAAAAGAAAGTACCCAAGATTTAGGGCTGGTCAAAATGTGATGTCTACACCAGCCACCGGCAACTGTGGGCGATAGTGGTGAAGCGATATGAAACCTAGGGTTAGTGGTTAGGAGTTTTTGCTGCAACAGTGATAATTTTGAGAAGGAATGATTTGGGAAGTGAAATACGGAACAACGATGGAATATGATCAATTTTGATTTCAGAATATAATAGAGGCAAGAGAGATAGATGGTATTTTGGTCTTCTTACCTCAAATAAGACCTAATGGAATAGTCAAAAAAAAAAAAAAAAGGATTAGATAGAATAAAACTCTTAGAAAAAAGGATTTATTAAAAAAACTTCCTTTTTTTTATTATCTCACTTTGACTTTTAATGTTTCAATTTTTTTTAATTTACTTTTAAAACTAATTTTTTGTTCGAAATTAGATGAAAATACCATATTGACTGCCACATGACATAAGGAATATATTATTATATTAAAAATTTAGATTAGTATCAAAGATGTGAATTATATATAACAAATATTTTTATACAACTTGACTGCCAATGTATCATTTTTAATGTAATAATTTAACTTTTGAAGTAAATAAAAAAAAATTCTATAAGCTATTTTAACAGCTACACCAAACAGGGCCATGATCAATTTTGATTTCAGAATATAACAGAGGCAAGAGAGATAGATCGTATTTTGGTCTTCTTACCTCAAATAAGACCTAATGGAATAGTCAAAAAAAAAAAAAATGGATTAGATATAATAAAACTCTTAGAAAAAAGGATTTATTAAAAAAACTTCCTTTTTTTTTATTATCTCACTTTGACTTTTAATGTTTCAATTTTTTTTTTTAATTTACTTTTAAAACTATTTTTTGTTCGAAATTAGATGAAAATACATGACATAAGGAATATATTATTATATTAAAAATTTAGATTAGTATCAAAGATGTGAATTATATATAACAAATATTTTTATACAACTTGACTGCCAATGTATCATTTTTAATGTAATAATTTAACTTTTGAAGTAAATAAAAAAAAATTAAAACATAAAGGACCAAATAGTAAAGAAAAAAACTTCAAAAATGTAAGTGAAAAATGATTAAAACCTCAAAGTGTAATTTACCTTTTCTAGGGTACATTTTTATAATTTCAATGGAGACCAACTTGTATTCCCTCCACAACCACTCTTCACACGAGATCATTTTCGAATCTGCAAATGCTTCGGTGTCGAAGAAGTCCTCGAATTTTTGCTGTAAGCTCGGTGTCTGAATGTTGAATATTCCTCCTAATCGCGATCTTCAGACTCCTCGCAGCCGGTAATTCATTAATCAATGGAGGTTTAGGGTGCTCGCGAATCAAGTTGGATGACATCCTACCTGTCACAACTTATGTGAATGGGAAAAAATTAATAACGGTCCGCTTAGTTAGAATTTACCATTTGATCTTAAGGATTAATTATTTAACTTTAATGATCAATCCTTGTCAGTAAAGATCAGTCATATCTTTGTAACAACTACACGTGAAACAGAGCTTGCGCGGTTTGGAAGAACAGATTCCATCACACTTTTGAATTGGAACTGAGGCCCCGTTTGTTTTCTTCACTTGCAGTCCGGATCGGACTATTAGTGATAAACAGTAAAATTAGCTTAGGTTTTGGTTTTTGAACTCCAGTTTCGTGGTCCCTTCAGCCAGGAACGGAACTAGGAGAAGACTATGGGGGTCATGGCCCCCTGTTTCTGTGAAAAATATGATTTGTCATAATATTTTAAAAATATATCTCATTTTATACATAAAATGGTCCCAGTATAAGAAATACATATCTCATTTTTCTCCTCTCTTGCACTTTCTTTTCATTTTGCACCATTTTTTTTCCAACCTATTAGAAATTACTTCTATAATATTTGAATTTTTTTGTGTATATACATAATTTATACATCATATTGTACATACATGCGTGCATATGTATATGGTGAAATTTTTTATTTGTCTTTTGGCCCTTCCAGTGATGAAATTCTGGTTCCGTCCTTGCCTTCAGCTTAGGATAGGCCTTGGACAATAGACTAATAGTCTGGGCGAGGAGATGTATTAGCAAAGTAGTCCGTTCGGATTGGGTGTTACAAGACATCTGCTCGGAAGTCCGGTTGGTCAACAACAATTTTTTTATTTTTTTTTACTTGTTGGCTATTTTTTTTTTTGAACATTAATATTTAATGTTTTTGTGCTTTTTGTTAAGTAAAAATTATAGTTTCATTTGATTTATTATTTTATATAAAAATAATTTAACAATCCTCACACTAACAACTATCATCAAAACAAATATAATTTTACTAATCATCTCACCATCAATCCCCTCTATTCTACCTCTCAAAACAAACGGGGCCTGAAACCTGTATCAGTTGGTACAGCTGAATCTATATATATATTTTTTTTGGGTAACAAAAATAAAAAAAAATATATAGATAGACTACTCTACATACTCTTTAACAAGTATTGCCTTTTAATGGGTACCTGCAGGAACCTGTCTTTACTTTCAATTTAGTAGCTATTGGTAAAGCAATTGGGACTTATTTACTCATTCATAATCTAATCGATCTTTGGAACTAGGTGAGCTTCAAGTTTCTTACTCTAGCCTGCCGAATGTGCTAGCGTACAGAAATGTGAATGGTCAAATATCAGATTCACATAAAAATTGAATGGTTGTTGAACTTTACTTTAGAACCGTTGGGTGGAGTGAGTCCATTTTCATCCCACATCGCAAGCATACGAGCAAAATAACATCAAATTATGCATATACAAAGAAATGTGTTGCCAACGAAAGACATACTTACCTGGACGGGGTCAATGGGCGATCAACATGGCCCATGGCCTAGGTTGGTGACTTCCATTGCACTTTGGGAGGGGTGCCTGCCTAAGGTCTACCCAAGTTGGTGGAGCCTACGTCATAATTTGTGATAGTGGGGGCCTGCGTTCGCGCAGCCCCTATCAAACTGTAGTTCAAATAAAGTTATTTTGTGGGTTTTGTAGAAAATGTTTTGTAACAAAGGTTTTAATTGTGTACTATGTCTCGTGATCTCATAATGTAATGGTTGGTTAAAATTGGAAAGATTGATGAAATTTTAAATTTATGTGGTTGGTTAATTTGTAGTAGGTGGATATGACTGTGTGTATAGATACAGAAGAAGTTAATGCGAACTTGTAGCTGATAATCTGTCCTTTTCAATGTAGCTCTTAGTAATCAAGGTCTGGAAAGATTGATGAAGTTATAATACATATTGGAAGAGCAATGATTTGAGATCTGCACGTGATTTTTTTAGTCCTCTGTTTTTTAATACAGACAGAGCACTGACTGGTGTTGTTGAATTGAAGGGATTAATCCAATCTAGTCCACTTTGAAGCAACAAATTAGTAACAGAGAATATGATAAGGTTCAAGTTGTCCCATATCGAAAAGGAGGGAGAAAAATGACAGGTCTGTCAGTTATAAAAGAGGCAGCCCAAGATGTTATTAAGCATACCTTTCTCGGCCTTTTGGCTAAGATCAAGTGTAGTATCTGTTCTTATCAGTTTAATATCTGATACGTGGGCCATTGGCTCACATGATATTAAATTAATTTTTTAAGGGGGAAGGCCCATCACAGTAGCTTGCTATTGGGGTCTTCGAGTGTCTCCTTGGCGTTGCACTACTGCCTTGGCCTGGCGCACCCCACCAATACTAGTCTTTAAATTTCTGTAAATAACTAGCAAGGCAAGGGAATTGCAGTTGTTTTATACGTGATTTTGTGCCTCAAAGCTCTGTTGACAGTGATTTGCATTATAGTCTTCTATAATTTTGCTTTGGTTAATTTTTTGGTTTCTCACCATGGTGTTTGGGGTTAGCCCTCTATTAGTTTCCTGGTACAACTAGAAGTTGATTTTCTGTGCCCAATGTTGCTAGATTGAAGAACTATGACAGAAAGTCCCTATTGTATATTGTCATACATGTACTATTGCTCTCTCTCTCTCTCCCCACGTTGTTTGTTTGTTGAAGGGCACCCAAATCAATTTGCTGCAGTCTGTTTTGCACCAATGGATCTATCCACTTTGTCACTAGTACACTATCATGAGTTGAGGTCAAGTTTGGCATGATTGAAAAAAGTCAAAAAGTCACTATCTTATTTAAGTCACATTATCTTATTTAAGTTACATCACCTCTCTAACACATCACTTCAAACCCAATCCATATTTCATAAAAAGTCAAAAAGTGTACTTATTTAGTCTTCCTAAACTAGGCTTGAGTCTTCGACTGCTGGTTCTGGCCTTTAAATTGTTGTCTCTCAAAGTCTAGTGTTTTGAGCAGAAGAAGAGGAATTTCACTTGTTAATAGATTGCCTTGATAACTTCTATTTATTTATTTTGCTTGAGTAAATTACACTGACACCCCCTGAGATTTGGTCTAATTACATCCTACCCCTGACGTTCTGAAAATTACATTTCCACCCCTATGATAAATAGTCTCATTTCACAAATCCTGCTTATATAAATGAAACAACTATTAGAAAAATTTAGGAAATTACATTTAAAAATAAATAAATAAAGCAAAGGGAAGGGAAGGGAAAAAAAAACGGAGGAAGTAAGCAAAGCAAGAAAAGAAAGTGTATAAGTTCAATGTCTTCATTCTGTCTAAATAATTACAATGACTGAATTAGTGTCATTTTCCAAACATCAGGAGTGTTATGTGTTGTACTCAAACCTCATGAGGCGTTAGTGTAATTTACCCATTTTTCTTTGGAGTATTCGAATGGTTACATTCATCAACAAATAAACCCACTTTAGACTGCATTTTCACTTGAAGTCCCATGAAAGTTGTGACGGAACCATCCAAATTTAAAGTGTCATTCAAACAGCCTTTCATCACTGCTTCGATATACTCACATCGGTGTGGAACTTTTATTTTTTCCCTTTCAATAATCATTGCAAAGTAGCTCAAGGACCACACTGGGGCACATAAAACTGAAATGGCATTGCCAAGTAATTACTACTCAACAAAACACAGTTTGCAAAATAACCCAGCAACTGTTTCATCTTGATTGAATTGAAAAATGATTGCTTTGACAGAGCTAAAACAAAATCCAGGTTTTAGCAGCTTCCCCAGCCCTTTGAGGTCCTAGAAAAATATCAGATTCCAAATAAAGTTGGATGGTTGTTGATTTCTTGAATACATCCCACATCAAAAGCATACGAGCTAAAGAACAGGAAGTCAAGCCTATACAAAGAAGTGTATTAGCTAACTTAAAACATACTTACCTGGACGGGGTCAATGGTTGATCAAGAAGACCCATGGCCTAGGTTGGTGACCTCCATTGCACTTAGGAGGGGTGCCCGCCTAAGATCTACCCAAGTGGTGGAGTCTACGTCATAATTTGTGGTAGCAGGGGCTTGCGTTCGCGCAGCCCCTACTAATCTCTAGTGCAATTTATTTAATTTACTAATCTCTAGTGCAATTTATTTAATTTGTTTTTTGAAATTTTTATGTGATTGTTCGGGTAGACACACTGTCAACGCAGTATTATGAGAAGATTGAATAATTACTTTGCTCAAGAGATGGTCTATGTTATAATGTGTGGCAGTGAAAGCCCATGTTCGTGCGGCCTCTGCCTTACTCCATTAGCCTCTGCCTTACTCCATTATTAAAGTTGTAGCAAAACAAAAAATGATAAATGGTTGGACTGATCTTGACACATGAGCTTTTTTGACTAGATTTGATTGAGATCTTTGATTTCTTGGTGCTCTTACTTCACAAGGAATTTATTGAATATTATCCACATGATCATTTTGCTGACTATTACCCTACTTGTGTCATTCATGTGCCATGGAGATCTCAACACCCCCAACTTTACCTAAAATACCTAACAGACTACAAATTGACTAGAGACATTGCTGCAGTGAACAGTCTTCTAAAGGTGGATACAAAGACACAATATATAGTGTGACTCTTCCCCACTTTAATTTGCATTCTAAGAATAAGAAACTAGTGTGCATTCTTGAGAAGAAGACAGAGGCTCAGTGCTTCACTCAATACATGCACAGAGAAAATGCCACTCAGCAAGTCCTATAGTGGACGACATGGAGCTTCAAGTAGCAGAATAGGGCACCAAAGCATTGAAAGCACTTGCCTTCAGTTCCGTACTCAGAAATTAGCCTAATGACAGAGCTCTTGCTTCACTGAACTAATAATTGTTACGATGATAGTGAACAAGACCATAGACAAGTTTCCTCAGAAAAAAAATTTGGACCAACTTGAATAGAAATTCCACATGTATTCTATGATTAAGTGACTTGAGTGTATTTAAATGAATGGAATGATATTAAATATTGGCCATTGGTGCTGAAGAGTAACAGAGAATGATAAGTTTCTTTCAACTAGTCCCATATTGAGAAGACAAGAGAAAGATGACAGGTCAATCGGTTTTAAAACAGGCAGCCCAAGTTTGTACACAGCATACCTTTCTCGGCCTTTTGGCTAAGATCAAGTGTAGTATCTGTTCTTATCAGTTTAATATCTGATACGTGGACTATCGGTTCACATGATATTAAATTTATATTTTGAGGGGAAAGGCCCATCACAGTAGCTTGCTGCTGGGGTGTTTTGAGTGTCGCCTTGGTGTTGCACTACTGCCTCGGCTTGGCACACCCCACCAATATTAGTCTTAAATTTACAATGTAATAAAATAAAATAATAATAATCCTAGTCTTAATACCTAATGCCAAAACTGCCTAGTTTTGTTGCAAGTGATTTGTATATGTCAATTTGCTGCTATTTCTTGCAACCAATGGATTAGTAGTACTTTCAAGTGTTATTAGATTACTCAATGAACTAATATTTATTTCTTTGGAGTATTTGAATTCATCTATCTTCTTTGACCATGTAATTCAATCAGAGAAAAATAGCCGGACTTCCAACCCTAGTTCTGTTGCAAGTGATTTGTATACATTGAATGTAATAGTCAATTTGCTGCTGTCTCTTGCAACCAATGGATTTGTAGTACTTTCAGGTGTTATTAGATTGCTCAATGAACTTATATTTATTTCTTCAGAATTTGAATTCATCTATCTGCTTCGACTATGTAATTCAATCAGAGAAAAATACACTGAAAAGACACACTGGGCACATGCTTATTGCAAAGTAGATTAACGATCACACTGGGCACATACACTGAAAAGACATTGCCAAGTAATGACTATTCAACAAAACACAATTTGCAAAATAACCCAGAAACTGTCACATCTTGATTGAATTGAAAAAAGTGGCTTTGACATATCAGCAGCTTCTCTTTGAGGTCCTAGAAAAATATCAGATTCACAGATCACATTCCAAATAAAGTTGAATGGTTGAATGGTTGTTGAACTTGGATCACGGGACTCCAATCGGGTTCCCGATTGGGGGGGGGGTGTTGGGGGATTTCTAGACTTCATCCCACATCGAAAGCATAGGAGCAAAAGAATGGGGAATCAAGCCTATACAAAGAAATGTATGAGCAAACTTAAAACATACTTACCTGGACGGGGTCAATGGGCGATCAACAAGGCCCATGGCCTAGGTTGGTGACCTCCATTGCACATAGGAGGGGTGCCTGCCTAAGATCTACCCAAGAGGTGGAGTCTACGTCATAATTTGTGATAGAGGGGGCTTGCGTTCGCGCAGCCCCTACTAATCTCTAGTGCTAAATTTTCTGTTTTATGTGGGTACTAATGATTTCTGACAGTGGTTTAGGACTGGTTTGTGACCTCCTGATTTTAGACAAATTGTTGGCATAAGATTGATTTCAAGGTGTCATCAAATGTTTTTTTTGAAATGATTATTGTAATGGGTTTTTGTACATCATGGTCCCAAGCACATGGTCAGTTTAGCTCATATTTCATTCTTATTTCTCTTACCTTTTCAATTTTACTTTTCCTAAATCTTTATCTAAATCTATGATCTAAACATAATCAAAGTGTTTCTTGATTTTTCCAAACTATTCCAATTTTTTTCCCCATGGATATGCCATTGCCAAGGAGTTTCTGAACCTCCAACTTTCTAAGAAAAAGTATCTAAAATGCCTAATCCATCCCATCAATACAGACTAGACATCGCTGCAATGAATTGTCAACCAAATGAGGATACAGACAATATATTGTAACTAAAAATCATGAACTAGCCTAAAGGGTGCATTCCAAATGAGAAGTGTTGGCTCGGTCTTTCACTCAATAGAAGCGCAGAGAAAACGCCACTCAGAGAATCCCATAGTGTGGTACATCGAGCTTAAAGAAGCAGAATAGGGAAATAAGGCATTGAAAGCACTCGTCTTTGATTCTCTACTTCAGGAATTAGCCTAACAACAGAGTTCATGGTTTCCTCAGAAAATTTTTGGACCAACTTGAATGGATTTTCCAGATGTATTCTTTGATCAAGTGACTGCTACAGTGTATTTAATGAATGGAATGAGATAATCATTATATGTCGAATTATACACACACACAGCACTGGTCATTGGTGTTTTAAGTGAAGACAATGATTGGTCAGTGTTCAACTAGTCCCATATCGAGAAGGAGAGAAAAAGAGAACAGGTCATTGGGTTTTAAAAGAGCCAGCCCAAGTGTTTTCAAATCATACCTTTCTCGGCCTTTTGGCTAAGATCAAGTGTAGTATCTGTTCTTATCAGTTTAATATCTGATACGTGGACCATTGGTTCACATGATATTAAATTAATTTTTTGAGGGGAAAGTCCCATCACAGTAGCTTGCTACTGGGGTCTTTGAGTGTCGCCTTGGTGTTGCACTACTGCCTTGGCCTGGCGCACCCCACCAACACTAGTCTTAATTTTTTCATTTAATAAATAATAATAATTTTTTAATTCGTGCTAATGTTAATGTAAATATGAAACTGTGAATGGAACTTGTAAAGTAACTTGAATGGTTTTTAGATTTAAAAGCTCCCACAAAGAGATCACGAGCAGAATGGCAAGTTGTGAAATTTCACTGTCAAACATAACTGAGATGAGTTGTGATTAGTTGTGACTGAGAATGAAACATAATTAAGAGAGCTTACACATATCTCTGAGATTAAGGAATGTCAAAAGACTCATTGTAATTTTGCACCTGCATTTTGAGTATTTTGCCTTTGTTGACATAATATTAACATTCTCACTCTATTGGATATTGCTCCATGTGCGGCCAATACATTATTATGCCTCATATCTAGTGTTGAGCAAAAGGAAGATGAGCTTCTGAATTTTGTACCAAAAATATGGTTGCTTTAACTGAGCTGAAGCAAAATCCATGTTTTTAGCAGCTTCCCTTGCTCTTAGCTCCTAGAAAAAAATATCAGATTCCAAATAAAGTTGAAATGGTTGTTGAACTTGGGAACTCTTGGCTAGGTGGATTTGGTGGGGGGAATCCTTGACTTCGTCATACCACATCGAAAGCATATGAGCAAAAGAACGGGCAGCCAAGCCTACACAATGAAATGTATTAGCTCCCTTGAAACATACTTACCTGAACGTGGTCAATGACCGATCAACAAGTTCCACGGCCTAGGTTGGTGACTTCCATTGCACTTTAGGAGGGGTGACTGCCTAAGGTCTGTTGTACAAGAGGTAGTGCAGCCCCTACCAATCCCTAATTCAAAGTTGTGCTAAATGAGTATTAAGTGGTTTTTCTATTGTTCACCGTTTTCTTTTTCCAGTTTCCCTCCTACCGAACACAACATTAAACCAATGTATACCCCAAAAAAGATCCAAGGATTGAGCTACTTTGATTGCTGATAATTTACAGAGGAATTACACACCAAAAAAATAAAAAAAAATAAAAAAAAAAAGAGAGAGAAGAGAAAGCACGCATCTTGACTACTAGCTGCCATAACATGAAAACCATACATTTTAAGCCGAAGGTAATTCGCTATAGTCGGATTCTTCTTCACCTACCTCACTGGATAACCTTGTTGTTTCGTTCTTAATAGGCTCGCAAACCCGGCAGCAAATTAGGAAATAAATGAAATTTAGCAAGCCCAAGAAAGTAAGTAGACAATAATAGTAATCTACGTGACCCCTATTAAGGTTGCTTGACAACCAGCTTACTTTGCCCCCTTTGGTTGTAACCACATTCACAATTTTCACCAGAAGGCTCCCCACTAGGCTCGATACCGCCATCCCAAGTGTCGAAAGAGCCATTGAAATGCTAGTCATGCTTTTAGGGAACTGACTGTAAAAGAACTCTATTTGCCCAATCGAATAAAACGCCTCGGCTAGTCCAAGTATGGCATATTGTGGAACCAACCATATTGCAGTCATGTCCACCACAGCATTGGGATCGTCCTGAAACCCTTGTTCAATGGCTTTTGAACGCCTTTTGCATTCAATTACTGCTGACACTACTGTTGCCAGACATGACAGTAATAATCCAATCCCCATCCTGACACGGGGGCTAAGCCCAAGTGGCCTCCCTGTGCACTTTGCTAGTAGCGCAACCATGAAACGGTCATAGAAGGCGACCCATAGTGTTAGTGTGACGATCATGAACACGGAAAAGCTCCCTGCAGGGATCTCAAAACTTGAGATGATGTGGCGGTTCATGGTTTTCGCTTGGAGTGTTGAAAATGAGTTTTGGCAGATGATTAGTATGACCATAATGCCAGCAGAGAACATGGGGATTGCTTTGAGAAGGGCCTTGAGCGATTCTACTTGTTCCACCGTGCATAGATGCCATGGATTTGAAGCCGATCCATCTGGATTCAAATCTCTCTCGGGATCTGTAATTATGCATGCTTTGTTTAGGCACCTCAAGTTCTCAGTTGGTGCACAGAACTTTGGTTCTTGGCTTTTATGATAAAAATCATCAGAGTATCTGTTTTTCCTGTTTTTCCTCGCTGCCACGAGAACTTGAACAAAACTGGTGAACAAACTCTCGCTAGCGACAACTTTGATGTAAAGAGAAGAGCCCAACAAGAACATGAGAGCAGAGAAAACCATGAACACAACCGGGATTCCAAAACCAACTTGCCAGCCCAAATGTTCTTGAATGTAGACAATGACAGTCAAGGCAAGGACTGTGGAGAGTCCAGTAGAGGCATAGTACCAATTGAAGAAGCTTTGCAAAGTCCTATCATTGTCAGGGTTGTCTTTGTTGTCCAATTGGTCTGCACCAAAGGCTATAGAACAAGGTCTAATGCAACCAGCTCCAATGGAGATTAGGCCAAAACTAGAGAACAAGACAGCTAGTTGGGCTGAGGTTGGAGAGTTGTTGCAAGTGCTGTTGATGAAGTGTTCACAAGAGGGTGGTTTCAATTGTGGAAGCATTGCTGTTAGCCAGAGGAGAGTCATTCCCTATCAAAACAGAACAACATCATAGAATAATCAATAGGGCTGAATATTAAAATTAGCAGTATTATCTGTCTCAAAATTTTCTCGTCCCTCTGTTTTAATGTATTATGAGTTGCATGTGGGTCGAGATTTTCAACTTATTGTGTGGCTACAAGTGCGTTAAGATAAGACATAAATTGGAGCACAGAGGATCCTTGAGCCTAATTTTATTTTCTTGAAAACATGATAGAATAATCAACAAATGAACATTAAAATCAACAGGCTCTCACTTCATCCTTAACTTGTGGGATGGGATTCTTTATCCTGAAATTTTCTTGTTTCTCTGTCACTGTCTTTTGAGTCACACGTGTCCTAAGATTCTCATGTTTTGAGATATCTATCCCATTGTGTGGTTGTGAGTACATTGAGATAGAGGCACAAAAAAAATTTAGCACAGATGGTCCCTTACCCTAATTTCACTTTCTTAACATAAAAACTTTATCATCAAAGAATTATCAACAAAAAAACTGAAAATTAAAATTGGCAGGGCACACTTCATTGAAAATTTCTTGTCCCTCTATTCCAATGTATTCTGAGTTGCACGTCCTAAGAATTTCATGTTTCCAGATTCCCACCATCTGTGAATACATTGAGACAGAAAGATAGAAATTCTGGAATAGAGGATCCCTTACCCTAATTTCATTTTCTTGAATTATTTATTTATTTTTTAATATTCTATCCCTCACAAGAAATGCATGCCATTGTTTAAGATATCTAATGATTCCACAATAAAAGAAGGAAATTTTTTTATTGCTATCTGATAGGTAGAGTATGAAACAATACTTCTTTCCCCAATTCAAAAACAATTTTCTTTTGAAACAAACATATAGCAAGTTCGTCACAAGACATGTTCTAAAACAGATTCAGGGGAAGAGAAAAAAAGAAAAAAAAGAAAGGGAAGGAAATTCTTTTCCCAGTTCAAAACAATTTTCCTTCTAAACAAACAAGTACAATTACGTCATATTATATGTTTTTGATAAAGATTCCAGGAAAATAGTAATAGAAAATCATATTCTTGTCATGAGTCATGACCTTGAAATAAACAAGCACACATATTCAAATTCATTTCATGGGTTTAATTTAGAATTGGATAGTTGAAGTTGTTTTTGGCTCTCAACTTCTCCAACTTTGCTTTAAACACGAGCAATTTATTTGTATATTGCTAATGCACAAATATGAGGTTGAATTTCATTATTTTTTCAACTTTGCTTTTATTTTTTAATATTTAAAATAATGATGAAAACATAATACAAAAAATAAGACTCTTTTTTTTGAAAAACGAAATGATTTTTACATAATTTTTACGTCCTACTAGAATGAATAATTATTTATTAGTTTCGGAACGTCACATGATGCATTAAATTAATTACATAATGAAAATTTTATAAGACATGTTAACTCACCTTTGTTAAGTATTAAAGAAACAAATAACTAGGTGCAATGCTGATATATTTTATTCACATTTCATCTACCTTTTCCCTTTCTCTTTTCCTTTCTAATCTCTTCCTAAATCCTCTAACTAAACACAGTTTTAGTGTCAATTGTAGTTTCTCATTAGCCTAAAAGTATAACATAAACAATACCACATAATATTTCAAGAGTATCTAATAATTTTCGTACTCATATTGAAACTGACTTTACTTACCACACAATGTGACTGTATTTACCCTTAAACTAAACTTACTTACAACACAACTTCAATTTACTAAATTGATTCTACTTACCATTGGATAGTCTTACTTATCACAGACACCCAAAACACTAATTTTGTACCTTATTTTTTTTAATTCATCACATGATAGAATGTTAGTAAATTAGTAAAGTTATATTACTATAGCAGGCGATGCCACTTTATTGGCTTGAACATGATAAATTACCTCAACGACATCCAAATACCCTTCATAATCACTTGAGTTACAGTCCGGGTCAATTTTGTACATAGTTGGTCACCTAAAAAGAATTACTAATATTTTATGTCAAAAAGAATGGTAGCTTGAAAGTCCCATCTCGGCAAAGTTTAGTTAGACAGACGCTTCACAATTTTGCTTCGCTTCAAAGCAACAAATATACGTTGTGATATAGACACGTATACAAACAGAGATATATAGTATGTATAATAAAAGTATAACAAGCACATACAAAGATATATAGAACGAATAAACAAATACATACAGAAAAGTATTATTGGAGCAATACACACTATCGCACACACAAACACAAGTGGAACCCAGTAAAATGTTTTTCCGGGAAAACAAGTTGAGCCCAGAAAAAAATTTCCCGGAAAATGTAAAAAAAGAAAAAGGGAAGCCCCAAATTACCAGAAGACTAGAGATGGAGCCGAGAACGATGACCGGAAACCGACCCAAGTAAGAATCAGAGAGAAAAGCTCCGAAAATGGCCAAAGTGTTGGACATGGCTGACCACAGAGAGAGGAAGATTGAGGCAGTGGCTGCTTCCATGGAGTAGCTTTCCATCAAGTAGAATATCATGTTTGGCATTAGACCAAAGCTTGCCACTTTCTCAAATGATTCATTCACTGAAAATCAAAAGAGAAAAATGTAATTCAAATGATGTAATGCACATGTATATGTATATCTATTCTGTTATATAAAGCGTACGACTCACAGAAATGACTGCTAACAGTTTTTAAATTCAACCCGTTTTCTTCGTTCATCAAATTGTCAAAAAATTTAGATGTAAAATTACAAACGCTTTTGTAATCATATTAGTTTTTGTGTGTGTTGTGTATGTGAATGACTGGTGGTTACCTAGGATGAAGGGTATGGTTCTGAGACCTCCCTTTCTTGGTCTTGGTGGGTGATTAAGGAACTTTTCTCGATCATCTGAGTATGAACCTATTTTCCCTTCTTCCATTTCCTCTTTCATATTCTCTCTCTGAATTTAGAAGGAAACTAAAGGATGAGACACATATATATATATGGGGACATCTCAGTTGATTTTGGTTTACTACTAGCTATCTCTCTCTGTTCTTTCAAGTGGAGACATGGGTAGTTAAGTGACACAAGCCTTTGATCAAGTCTATTTTACCCCAATGGTACTGTTTTATTTTCTATATTTTATTATGTATATTGTAAGTTATCAATACTATATTGATAAATAATGTCCCATCACTTATATGAATCTTTATTCCACTGTTGATAACTAAATTAACACATTAAATGATAAAGATACTGTAGTAATAGAATAAAACGATTATATTATAACATTACTTTTTTACTACTTGTCCTTAAAAAAAAAAGAATGTAACTTCTCTCGTCCTTTAGAGGACTTCACGGTCTTGTTTGTGCCCAATTTCAATAGTCTCATATGTTAATATTTTTTGTTTTTGTATATAAATCATTTCTATAAGAAAATTAGATTGATTCGATAATTATAATAAAATCAGATTTTAATATTTGTAATAACGTGATTTAACTATATTTGTCTTTAAAAGATTAGTTGATTTTTTATAATTTTTTTTATTCTTATGAATAATTTATCTAAAAAAACAAGATATAAAATCATCAAAATACGAGATCACTGGCCAAACTGAAGCGGTCTAATTTAAAAACAAACCCAACTCAAGAAAATGGTATGTTATTTCAGAAATTTCTGTCTTCTATCCAAAAGATTTATGGATATTGACTGTAAATCTTGAAATTCTCGTATTTATATTAGTGTAGATATTTTGAAACAAATAGAGAGAATAACTGTAAATCTTTTGTAACAAGGGAAGTAGAATTTGTAGAGAATCTTTGGCCCACCCAGAGAGTGAGTGAGAGAGAGAGAAGCGTGAGGTTCGTTACTTTTGTTTTTAGTGAGTCCTTTAGCTCTTTATTACTTGCTTTTCTTTTTCTTTACCTTTCTTCATTTTTGAGACTATTCATTATTAATTGTAGTTGTTTTTTTTTTTCTTCTTTTTCTTTTCCCTTTTTTTTTTTGGGGAATGTTCTTTTCTTGGTTCAAGTTACAGGGAATCACATATTTTGCATTTTTCTATGCAACTTTCTACTTTTTCACTAATGTAAATAATTTAGGAAAAATAACAAATATGGTGTAGGTTTTAAAAAAAAAAATACAGATCAGTGATAAAAATTTATAAAATTTAAAAGTTATCACTGATTTCTAATCTTTTCAATAATTTACTGCAAAGTAATAGTTAAAAAAAAAAAAGAAAGTAAAAGAAAATTGATAAAGTACTTCATTTATGGCCAAAAAAGAAGGAAAAAATTACCCATCATTGTTCATCCGAACTGTCAGTCACACTCAGAGAATGACTAGTGGGTATGGTTACTACCTACTAAAACTGGTCCAATCATTTAATGGCTATTTTGCCCAAACCGGTCAGTCAAATTACTGACCAGTGGATATGCTCAATTCAAGAGTACCATTACAATGGTGAAGCTGTTGGTTCCCAAATCAAATGTCATTAGTAGACACGGTGATGATGATGATGATGGTAATAGTGAGGTAGGAAGGATGAGGGGTTATTATTGTGACTCATATTAGTAATTGTTGTGTTTTAATTTGAGATTTATTATGGGTTTATTTTTATAACTCGAATCGTTCATTTTGTAAGATTTGTTGAGTATTTTATGCCTACCAAAAATCATATTAATCAGATATTAATAATTATATGATCGAATTACATTTATCATAAAAAAAAACAATAAGTTTTTCTTTTGAGAAATAGCATTAAAATATACAATCCGATCACATAGTTATTGATATTCGATAAATATATTTTTTGGTAGGCATGAAATATTCAACAAACCTTACAAAATGAATGGTTTGGATCATAAAAATAAGCTCATAATAAATCTCAAATTGAGGCACAACAGTCTGGGTAGGGGTGTTCATAGTTCGGTTGCTGTCGGAAAACCTCTAATCCAACATCCGTCCGTCAAATTGGCGAATTGGAAAAAATAATCCGCATTCGTCTGCCGGATTGGCGGATGTGGATTGAGCGGATTGACAAATAAATACGAATCGGTTTGACAGTTTAAACTTTTACAAATTTTAAACATAATATAACAACTTATCAACAATTTTTTTGGGATAAATCCAACTCAATATAACCAAAAAATTATCAAGTAAATTGTCAAATATTAATAATAAATACATATAAGAAAATCATGTATTATCAAAATTATTTCATTACTTTTTTTATATTCAAAAACTATTTAATTTGATTTTTTTTAAAATAAAAAAATTAAACCTTATATTTTCCACACAAAAATACCAACTATTAACACTTGCCATTTGATAAAAAAATTTCTAAATTGAAAACAAAACAGAATATTTAAATTCTTTTTCAATTGAAAAAGACAAACAGAATATCTAAATAAATTGAAAATACAAAATCTCGTAGTTTGGTGGTTTAGTTGCTGCCAAAGAAACCTTAAATTCGTCATCCGTCCAAAACTAGGTGGATTGAAAAAAATCAATTTGCAACCATCCTCTCGTCATCACGCATCTGTCTAAAATTTAATGAATTGGTTCGATTCGATCAATTTAGACGGATCAGAATATCCGCTGCTCACCCCTATGTCTAGGTAGGAAAGGTGAGACTCATTAATTCCTGTTAGTAATAGAGAAATAATAGAGTGACATAATAATTGATAATTAATTAGGAATTAAACACACATAATGTCCCTAACATACTTATTAATTTTATATTATAATAACTTTATATTAAATGATATATGAAATGTAGTAAAATAAGATAGTTATTGTAACATGACTCCAATGTTTTACACATATAGACGGGCTGGTACTTAAGATGGGACAATAATTAATATTTTTCGGGAATAATTTAGAGAAAATAATTAACTAAAGTGAAATGCTAGTCTAACTTGTGATAGGGTAACTTATTATCTGTATTCACACCCATCTTCTGATCTTCTCTCCCCTCGTGAGTGAGAGAGAGCGAGAGTGTGTGAAGAGAGAGAAATGGATCAAAAAGCAAATGTTTACATGGAAGTTTTTAGGGTATCTTACTTTGATATTTATTTAGATGGATCCATAAAGTTTTGGTAGAATTTTTTAAATATAATTTGAGAAAAGAGTTGTATTTTGTGTTTGTAAATTTTGAAATTATGATTTGAGTAAAAAAATTTTGATGTGATATATGATATTTGATATAAAGACTTACAACTCATAACCAAATACACAATTCAAAACTTATAAAAAAATTTAAAAAATTCCAAATTTTTTTTATTTAAAATATAAAAAATAACAGGTGTTAATTGTAAAAATAAAAAAAATTACACTATTCCGGTCAACCAGTCGGACGTCCAGAAAGACGATCGGCCGGACGTATGAGAGGACAACCGATTAGTCCAAATTTTTTCATCTTGAAAAGAGTTTTCAAAAGTGAGTATGAAATTAATTTTTAAAAACTCTAAATATATAAGACACTCAAAATAAAAAATGAAAATATATTTTTAGAAGTTAACTAAACACAACCTTTCTCTCTCCTCTCTATGTATTAATTATGCAGTGGATTTGTCACCACCTAAATAAAGGAGCATCTTCTTTTGTTAGGAACAACTTCACCTCACATGTTCCCATGATTACTGACCAGTGGATATGCTCAATTCAAGAAAAAAAATATATATATATATATATATAGATATAGATATTTATATAAATGCACTCATTTTATATTTTATGACTTTAATTATTATTATTATTATTTTGTTGCGTCAACTCTCAATTTACGGTGATACAAATTTCATAAATTTGGACAAAATTATTAATAGTGCGGGTCAAAACTATTTGAGGATCATTTAATATTTTTAAGGGTCTACTTTGTCTCAAGTTGAGATTAAGACTGGACCTGTTCAGTTCGGCTTACAAGGCCTATTTTTTTGGGTTCGTTTTGATAATTCGAACCATTCAATGTGTAGAACTCATCGAGTACTACATGTCTGTAAAAAATCACGTTGATCGGATATCAATAGCTATGTGATCAAATCAGTTTTGTATAAAAAAATTGACGGTCAAACAATTAACGGTTGATAAAAAACTGTTTTGTTCACATAGCTATCGATATCCGATCAACGTGATTTTTTACAGGCATATAGTACTCGACGAGTTCTACACATTGAACCATTTGGATTATCAAAACGGGACCCGTGGTGGGCCCCTACGGGCCCAACAGCACGGTCCAGTCCGATCTTGAACTGAACCAAAGCGACTGCCTATTTTTAAAACATAAGGATTAGAGTGCTTTGAGACCTATTTTTAAACAGTGGTGCTTTATGTATTAATTAGCGTACTAATTAGTGTATCAATACTAGTTATGACATTATTATTGATCCAATTTATTAATCACATTATAAATACTTAAAATCTCTTAAATTATGTCACATTATTAATTGATACACTAATTAATGCACCAATTGATACATATAACATTATTCATTTTTAAAATATTAGGGGCTTCAAGGTTAAATGCAAAAGGGATGAAATGAATTTTATCTTAAATTATACTTTGAAAAAAGTGCATGTATTTGTTGGCTTTTTGGCTTTCGAAGGTTATTTTTGTAATTATGAGCATGCCAGCAAGGATCAATCAGTCCTTACAGAATTGTAATTGCAAACAATTATTCAGACGATTGTGTTATGGTTCTTTTAGCCTCAATAAAGAGGACTTTTACTGGTGGCCCTGAAGAGGATTATTGATGCAGAATGTGAAAAGTACAAAGCTGGGGAGAAAAGCGCTATTGATGGACGCATCTTTGTCCCTCGTCGCCATGTGCAGTTAGACTACGTGCTCGGACCCATATTCAAAGAGGTCCTTACTGAGCTCCCAGCCCTGTATCCCCGACTGGAAAACCAATGTCTTCTCTATGAAGGTGGTCTTGACTGGAGGAACTGGAGGATAAATCGCCCCCACCGATGCTGGCCCACGGTGAGACCAGAGTGGCAAGAATGGTATGATCGGGTTATTCCTGCTAGGACCCTGGAC